CATTGAGAAATTGATTGTAGAAACTCTGAGAAACAAGCTGAGAAAAAGAAAAAATTACTCTGTGTTCTATAGTGTTTGCTCTATCTACCTGCCACTTGTACTTTTTCGGAGATTAGGTACAAAAATTTAGAAAAATAGCCGAACTTGACCATGACAAAAAGCATGAGTCGCAGATTTTGGTAATTGTTCGAGAGCTCATCGAACATTATGCAGTGAAATTAAAACCGTTAGAAAGAGAATGAAATGCTGCATCGAATGCTCCTAAGATCTCTTGAAAATGTTGATTCCACGAATAGTGGCGTTCATTCGAAAAAAGCAACATTACTTTCGGAACGACTTAATATATGTACATAATATCACTGCAAACGAAATTATGCAAAAAGTTTTGGAAACTTATGTGTGAAACCCGTTCTCTAACATGACGGTTTCTAAACCATCGCCAAACCAGCTGGGTGAGCATAACGGGGAGACTTTTTGGTTTAGACTATTAAAGCGCTTGAAAACCTACATGTAGTAAGAAAAAAAAACCAATCAAACATTGCATCCCCTCATTTTTTAGGCTGTAAAATAGCCTGTATTATTGAGTTTTATAAATATCGCGTTCCAATTCATGACTGAGTGAAAGATTGGAGTAGCTATTGATAAAAATTCTGGTCATCTCTCTTTTCTTTTACGATTGGCTGTTGCAGGTAAATGCGCTGGGAGCCACTGCTGAATATGTGTCTGTTATATTGATAAGCTAGCCATATATAGGCCGTCCGCGCCGTGCCGCGAGAGCAACGCTGCCGCTTCCATCGAAGATAGTTCATAAATGGAAGAGGTCCAAAGAGAACAAGCAGTGAAAGTGCACGAGAAAAAAGGAGTGACGCACAGTGCACAAACTGTGCACTCTTCAAGCCCTGCGCGGACGGCCTATAGCTACGTTTTTTTGATTGGGGTGATCTAAGAGAATGGGGCACCTGGAGAAATAATGCCATTTTCTCAAAAAATAGTTGATTGTCCTAGTTATGAGATGCTAGCACATGACAAAATCTTCTTATTAAGGTCAAACGGGGACTGTCGCATGGCGTGATTTTTAAAATGTTCAAAAAAGTTCGTCACTTCAGGTGATTTAAAGTATGGGCAGCACTCGCAGTAAAACATCGGGGCTACCAGGGATATACGTGCCGCAATGGATAGGGAACTGTCACCAAATCCACCATAGCTTAGTGTCTGCAACGCTTTGCAGCAGAAGATAAAACAATAAATATCAGGAGATTTATTACTTATTTTCTCATAGGTGTCATTGAATGAATCGACCTCAATGGTTACCATCATCACCTCGAAATTCCTCATTTTTGAATAGAGTTGGCTAAAACGTGTTTTCAGTTGCAAGGTGCTGTTATTAAACATGCGACTGCCACTTCATACAAAGTGTCATTGCTCGCTGTTTATGTTTATAAGAAGAAGAACCTTCAACATTGCAAAAAAAATCATGGTCTCATGGTCCCCACTACTTTTAAATCACCCTGGCATATTTTTTTGCTAGAAATTTGTACTCTTTAATTCTTTTCTTGTCATCAAACAGAGGCCCGAAGTAAGCTCCTGTTCAACGCAACTCGGCTGGAAGCGGGTCTACGTTGAACGTAGAACGATTCAGTCGAGCATCCAGCGAGCTATCGATCTGGACATCGCCTTTTGACACGCTATCGCCTTTTGGACATGATAACCATGTGTAGTATCTTCCAACTCCAACTGTTCTTTAATTTTGGCATAGATATGAATCGTAGTTGTAATGTTGAGCAACGCTACCAAAGTAGCAACTTCTCTCTATTAACTTCGGCCAACCTTTTGGCGCAATCGCCTTCGCTAGAGCCTAGAAAGTCGAATACATAAGGATCTCCTTCCTTAGACGTCAATAAAGAAGCAAGATAACTCAGTTTGAAGCTAGTACAAAGGAAGGAACCAGAGCCACGGCTAAGCAATACTCACCTTAATCGTTGCATAGGGGATACAGGTACCACCATCTATGCAGTAACTTCACCTCTGCTCTATTTCTGGTAATGAGGTGACTGACATAGCCATAGAAACCGCAAAGGGCCTGATATGGCGCGAGTTCGTTGGTTATTGCAATACACTCTTCCTTCCGCATTTTTGGGTTTTTAGAACTGATTCAAAACGCTTCTAAAGTCTTGCGCGATAAGACTTTGGCTTCGTAGGACGAAATCGAAACCCCAACTTGTATTTTAGCATTTTGGTGTTGCTGTAAGCGATGACTACCAAACGGTGTACTGCTCCTTGACTTGTTCAGTTCATCTGAATGTTCCTTGATGCGGCAGCAAAGCGGGCGTTCAGTTTCGCCTATGTACGTGTCGCCACATGGTAAACATGTGATGATGTATATCACGCCTGCCACCATTCATTCCCGTCATTACCGAACGGACAAACTTATACAGCCTGGAGTAGAGCAACTACGATCATAGGCTCTACTTCTGACCAATTGCCTCTTTAGGTTGGGCGGCGCAATATCGACCACCCTGAGCGCGTCTTGCAAACCCGCGCGGTATATGCATCGCCGCACCGCGCTGCTTATATAACCTATCAAAGACTTCCTGGCAATGAAGCAAAAATGCTACCACAGGCTTCGACTTTCTAGGTTCTAACGAAGGCGATTGCGCAGAAACGTTTGCCGAAGTCGAGAAAGAGAAGCTGCTACCTTGGTAGTGTTCCTCAACATTACAACTACGATCCATATACAGGGTGTCCCAAAAAAATGTATCGAACGTTTGATCGTTAATATCTCCCTTCTAAAGAAGTCTTTTGCCTTGCTTCAGGTACCGTTTTGTAGAGCTGGCTTCAACTTAGATTTGCATTATAAAACAAATCACTCATCTCTCTTCATTACTGTAGGACTACGGTAGAAACTTCAAAGAGGGTTTTGAGCAATGAAAGGCCATATTTTGCCCCAGAAAGGAAACAAAACAACCTAAAAACTCTTACACTAGGCTAGTTAGAGTTGCTGATTATAACTGTAAAGTTCCCAATTTATCATGATGCTTCATTGAATAGTTATGCCAGGTAAGAGGTAACGGCCATTTTTTCAATGTTCCTAAAAAGTGCGTTTATATCGTTTAGAAAGCTTCGTAATTTTGTGAATAGTTGAGTATTAAACTCGGCGTCCATAGAAACCCCAATACACAAGTTTTCACTTTTTTTTCGAAGAATTTTAAAACGGCAGCTTTTTCCACATTGGCACCATATGTTTCAAGTTTCTACCGTAATCCTACAGTAATGAAAAGAGATGGGTGATTCGTTCTATAATGCAAATCTTAGTTGAAGCCAGCTCTACAAAACAGTACCTAAAGCAAGGCAAAAGGCTTTTTGGGAAGAGAGATATTAACGATCAAACGTTCGATACATTTTTTTGGGACATTCTGTATATGCCAAAATTAAAGAACAGTTGGAGTTGGAAGATACTACACATGGTTAGTACTCTGCGTTGATACCACTGCTTGATACCACTGCTT